CCTGGCTTCAAAGGAGAGGGCCCAGAAGTGGATGTGAACCTGCCTAAGGCTGACATTGACGTCTCAGGACCCAAGGTGGACATCGATGTTCCAGATGTGGATATTGAAGGTCCAGATGCGAAACTGAAAGGCCCCAAGTTCAAGATGCCGGAGATGAACATCAAAGCTCCCAAAATCTCCGTGCCTGATGTCGACCTGGATTTGAAAGGATCCACAGGCAAAGGAGATTTCGATGTGTCTGTCCCTAAGATTGAAGGGACTTTCAAAGGCCCCAAAGTAGACCTTAAAGGTCCAGGTCTGGATCTTGAAGGCCCTGATGCCAAACTCAGTGGCCCACATTTGAAGATGCCCTCACTGGATATATCTGCCCCTAAAGTAACTGCGCCTGATACTGATTTGCATCTCAAGGCACCCAAAATTGGAGTTTCTGGTCCCAAATTAGAAGGCGGTGAACTGGACCTCAAGGGACCCAAAGTTGATTTCGAAGCTCCAAGCTTAGATGTACACGTGGAGAGCCCAGATATTAACACTGAGGGGCCAGATGTGAAAATTCCCAAATTTAAGAAGCCCAAGTTTGGGTTTGGGGCCAAAAGCCCCAAAGCTGACTTCAAATCACCTTCCCTCGATGTGACAGTTCCTGAGGCAGAGCTGAGTGTTGAGGCTCCTGAAATTGGTGTTGGTGGCAAGGGCAAGAAGAGTAAGTTTAAAATGCCTAAAATTCACATGAGTGGTCCTAAAATTAAGGCCAAAAAACAAGGATTTGATGTGAATGCTCCTGGGGGTGAGATTGATGCCAGCCTCAAGTCTCCTGATGCAGATGTCAACGTTGCAGGGCCGGATGCCTCACTTAAAGTCGACGCGAAATCTCCCAAGACCAAAAAACCTATGTTTGGAAAAATGTACTTTCCAGATGTCGAATTTGACATTAAGTCACCTAAATTTAAAGCGGAAGCTTCCCTCCCTGGCCCCAAAATGGGGGGTGAAATCCAGGCACCTGACCTGGATGTTTCCTCACCAGAGATTAACGTGGAAGGTCCTGACATCAAGCTGAAAGCTCCCAAGTTCAAGGTGCCAGGTGTGGATGTCTCAGGGCCAAAAATAGAGGGCGACTTGAAAGGCCCCAGGGTGCAGGCAAACTTGGATGCATCTGACATCAACATTGAAGGCCCAGATGCTAAAGTCAAAGCACCGTCATTCAGCATTTCTGCCCCTCAAGTCTCCATCCCTGATGTGAATGTTAACTTGAAAGGACCAAAGATAAAGGGTGATGTCCCCAGTGTGGGACTGGAAGGACCAGATGTAGATCTGCAAGGTCCAGAATCGAAAATTAAGTTCCCCAAGTTTTCGATGCCCAAGATCGGCGTCCCTGGTGTGAAGATGGAGGGTGGGGGCACTGAGGTCCAGCTGCCCTCTCTAGAAGGAGGCTTGAGCGCACCAGATGTTAAGCTTGAAGGGCCCGATGTGTCTCTGAAAGGGCCTAAAATAGACTTGCCTTCAGTGAACCTCTCTGCGCCAAAAGTCTCTGGACCTGACCTTGACCTGAACTCGAAAGGACCAAGTTTGAAGGGAGGCCTGGATGTATCTGTTCCCAGCATGAAGGTGCACGCTCCTGGGCTTGACCTCAGAGGTGTCGGTGGAAAGGTGAAGGTGGAAGGTGATGGTATGAAAGTGCCTGGAACTGATGCCACAGCAATGCTTGATGTCGGTGCGCAAGATGTGACCCTGAAGGGACCAAGCCTGCAGGGAGACCTGGCTGTCTCTGGTGACATCAAGTGTCCTGAAGTATCAGTAGGTGCTCCTGACCTAAGCTTGGAGACACCTGAAGGTGGTGTCAAACTTCCTAAGATGAAGCTGCCCCAGTTTGGCATCTCCGCTCCAGGGTCCGACTTGGACATCGGTGTCAAGGGGCCACAAGTCGCTGGAGAACTAAAGGGGCCCGGCATAGATTTGAACCTCAGAGGCCCGAACCTGAAAGGGCCTCAGATCTCTGGCCCTCAAATCTCAGCACCAGATGTGGACTTGAACTTGGAAGGACCAAAAGCAAAAGGCAGCCTCGGGGCCAGTGGTGACATGAAAGGCCCCACAGTTGGAGGAGGTCTTCCGGGCATCAGTGTTCAAGGCCTAGAAGGAAACCTCCAGACGCCTGGAATTAAGTCATCCAGATGTGAGGTGGAGCTGCCAGGTGTGAATGTGAAACTCCCAACCGGGCATATTTCTGGTCCTGAAATCAAAGGTGATCTGAAAGGTTCAGGAATAGGTTTCCACGGGGCCCTTCCTGACATTGGCATGAAAGGGCCTTCCTTTAACGTGGCATCTCCTGAGTCAGATTTTGGTGTCAGCTTGAAAGGCCCGAAAATCAAAGGAGGCATGGATGTTTCAGGGGGTGTCAGTGCCCCAGATATCAGCCTGGGTGAGGGGCATGTGAGCGTCAAAGGTTCCGGCGGGGAGTGGAAAGGACCCCAGGTCTCCTCTGCTGTCAACCTGGATGCACTTAAGTTTGCCGGAGGACTTCATTTCTCAGGACCAAAGATAGAAGGAGGTGTCAAAGGAGACCAGATTGGACTTCAGGGTCCTGGGCTGAGCGTGTCTGGGCCTCAAGGTCACTTGGAAAGCGGATCTGGAAAAGTAACATTCCCCAAGATGAAGATCCCCAAGTTCACCTTCTCTGGCCGTGAGCTGGTTGGCAGAGAAGTAGGGGTGGATATTAACTTCCCTAAAGCGGAGGCCACTGTCCAGTCTGGTGCCGGAGAGGCCGAGTGGGAAGAGTCTGATGTAAAACTTAAAAAGTCCAAAATCAAAATGCCCAAGTTCAACTTTTCCAAACCTAAAGGGAAACCTGGTGTCACCGGCTCACCGGAAGCGTCCATTCCAGGGTCCAAAGGTGACCTGAAGAGCTCCAAGGCCAGCCTAGGCTCTCTGGAAGGAGAGGCAGAAGTCGAAACGTCTTCGCCCAAAGGCAAATTCTCCTTATTCAAAAGCAAGAAGGCACAGCACCGCTCAAATTCCTTCAGTGAAGAAAGGGAGCATTCTGCATCTTCTACCCCTCCGGGAACTTTGGAGTTCGAAGGTGGGGAAGTGTTGCTGGAAGGCGGGAAAGTCAAAGGGAAACATGGGAAGCTGAAATTTGGTACCTTTGGTGGATTGGGGTCAAAGAGCAAAGGTCATTATGAGGTGACTGGGAGTGATGATGAGGCAGGCAAGTTACAGGGGAGTGGAGTGTCCTTGGCCTCTAAGAAGTCCCAACTGACATCTTCTAGCAGTGACAGTGGGACTAAGGTTGGCATCCAGCTTCCCGAGGTGGAGCTGACAGTTTCCACAAAGAAAGAGTAGCAGGCCTCTGTGTGTGTGTACATATATGTATAAAAATACATCAGCCTTGGGTGAGTTTGTATATAAACTCCAAAGAGAAACCCGCCGACAGCCTCAGCAGTAACGCAAACACCTGGCCTCTGGCAGGGGCGAGCGCTGAAAAGACCAGCGCCTTTAGGCTCCTCCTGGAGCTTTACAGATAGGTCAAGAGTTCTAAGTTCTTCGTCCAGCCTGTGTGCAGAGTCAACAGTATTTGCCTTAAGATTTCAGGTTTTTGTTTTTGCATTGAACGCTGAGAGCTCCTGTTTACTAAGCAAGCTTTTGTGTTTATTATCCTCATTTTTACTGAACATTGTTAGCGTTGGGGTCATGGAAACCCACTTTTTCATTGTAATGACTTTTGGGGCTTCTGTTAGTCAGGGTGGGGGGTGGAGAAGGCAGTAGAGGGGGGCCAGACCTTCATTTCTCCTGCCGTCCGGATCTACTCAAACAGGAAACATCCAAAGATGGCTGAGAGGAGCCGCCAGGCAGGGCGTGTGGGTGTTTCTAGAACTCTTTAGCGTTGCTTTTTCTTCCCCGGGGGTGGCGGTCCCAGCCCGTTTGGTGCTCGCGATGAGAGGGAATTTAGAGTCTGTTTGCAAATTAGCCAACCCACCGACTCGACACGAGGGCCTTCCATTCTGTGTGTTGTAAGAGAAATGTTTTCTTTGTGATCGCCACGTTCCTGATATTAATTCTGATTTCTTTTAACAAATGTTATCGTGATTAAGGAAATTTCCAGCACTTTAATGGCAAATTAATTGAGAATGTAAGAAAATTGATGCTGTCAAGGGCAAATAAAGCTGTTTATTAACCCGGATGTCCTGTGCCTTTTATATTCTGTAATGGGAGGATGAGGCCTAGGGAGGCTGCATACCCAGCCCTGACAGGTCAGACTGGGTCCCCTCAGTGGCGTTGCTAGTTGCATTAGTGGGTGATGGGAGGGATTCTTTGCTTCTCGATTCTCATGGTGAGGCTGGTTGTACCATTGCTGAGATATCAAGAGAGGCTGGGCACGCTGGCAGCCCGAGCCCCAGGACCTGCCCACCAACTCGGCATCCTCAGATAGGAATATACGATTCAGACATGGTTCAGACATGAAGGGAAGAAAAGGCCTGTGGAATGGCAGAAAGGGATCTGACCGTGGGCCACAGGCCTGCCAGCTGTTCCAAACTTGGCTGTAGGTTTGCTGGCTGGCCTCGTTACCTGCCCTTCTGGGCCTCAGTTTCCCCTTCGAAATAAGGGTGCTGATCTCGAATCACATGTCCTTATGCTTCCTTCTAGTCCACGTGAGCGCTAAACTTTATGAAAAATCTCTTCTGACAGAAGTCCCCTCCCCCACCCCCTTTTTTCTGGCCTTCCCTTGAGGCATGCAGGATCTTAGTTCCCCGACCAGGGATCGAACCTGGGTCCCCTGCATTGGGAGCACAGAGCCTTAACCACTGGACCGCCAGGGACGTCCAAAAGTCCCCTTCTGATTTACAGCTCTGTAGACAATACAGAGTGGGGGGACCTTCTAGAAACTGGCTTCTGATGTTGGTCATTGCTGGGCAGAGGGCAGCGCCTTATTAGGCCAAAATGATCGAACCAAGCTCATCCCCCTTGCCATTCCCCAGAGCTGCTTCCTTTCTGCCAGTGGAAGCAGCTCTGTACCTCTCCCATCAGCCCTGGAGTGGAGACACCAGCTCCAACCCCCTCCTGCCCTCTCCAGAGCCAGCTTATCTGCGGGTCTCAGCGCAGAGCAGCGGGATCTCCTGCCCAGCGTGAAATCCACCTGCCCTCGCTTGGATTTCAGACGGGCCCTTGCCAGCTTCATCCACTCCCGCCTCAGCCAGCAGAGCCTGTGTCCCTGGGGGGCTTTGGAGCTCACGGGTGGCTCTTGCTTTTGGAAAGAGATAGGTAGCAAGGGAGGTGCTTGATCCCCTGTGGCTTTTTAAAATATTTTTTAAAAATTTTATTTATGTATTGAAGTATAGTTGATTTACAATGTTGTATTAGTTCAGGAGTATAGCAAAGTGATTCGGTTTTATGTAAATAAATAAATAAATATATATAGATATATATTCTTTTCCAGATTCTTTTCCCTTATAAGTTATTACAAAATATTGAATATAGTTCCCTGTGCTATACAGTAGGTCCTTGTTGGTTATCTATTTTATATATAGTAGTGTGTATCTATTAATCCCATACTCCTAATTTATCCCTCCCCCAGCCCCTGTGGCTTTTTAAAAGCTGATTTTGTGAATTGGGCAAGAGTTTCCTCACCCATAAACTAGGGGTAGCATCCACAGGCCCAGAGTCTGTCTGTTCAGATGTTTGGGTTGTCTGCTGTGCAAGGGCATCGCATTTAAGGGTATAGCATTCGTGTCACGGCCGTATGTTTGTTTATTGAGAGCGTGAGGGTGGGCATGGAGTCCTAGGGAGGTGGGTGTGAGCCGCTGCACACACACTGAAAAGCTAGAGTGTGCACACGCCCACTGGCACACGTGCCTACACGCAGCTGCCTTCCGTCCTAACCAGGTCTGGGCACCCCACAAGTGTGCTGCTTTCAACCACGGCTCAAATCCCAGTTCTCTGTTCTGAAGCTGATGAGTGTGGAGTGGGACAGAGTGTGCAGATGTGTGGTCCTGGCGTCTGGAGGGGGGATAAGTGGGTGACAGTGCGGTGCACTTGTGTACACAGCCAGGGGGATGCCCACTGGGACGCTGGAAAGATCTCCCAGGCAGAACTACCCAGATTGTCCAATAATATGGCAATTAAAAAAAATTTTTTTTAGCTTGAGGAAGGGGTGATGTACACTAGTGTGGCCCTCAGCGTCCATTCATTCAACAAGTATTTTTAGAGCATCATGTGGTTAAATGCTGTCCCTGCCCCCCTGGTCTCAGAATCCTCCTCTGCTGACCTCCACAGACCAAATGATGTGATGGATGTGGGACACTGGAACACTGGAAATACACACGTGTAAGTGACGCTTCTACCAGGGATGATGAGGATGATGGTGATGTTTCCCTGGACTCTCAGGGTGAGATCTCATTGGCTGGGACAGTCAGGAGTAGTGGGTCAGATGGATCAGGAACATGGCAACAGGCCATTCAAATGTGAGAAACTTCCCAGCTGCCCTCCTCCTACATCAGGCCCAGGCTGGAGGCAGTGACCACAGGACAGGAGCCCTCCCTGCTGCAGTGACTGTTACCACCGGAAGGGGGAACATGGAGGAGGTGCCAGGGGGTGGAGACGCATATGTAGGGCCCATCCCAGCGAGCTTTCCTTCGCTTGTTCTGCCCACTCACTCTCAGTTCCCCCCTTCCTCCGTTCTTCCTGACGCCTTCTCACCGCCTACCTGATGGGGATGGTCCAAGTTATTCCCCGAAGTCCTGCAGGGCCCAGATTCAGGAGGTCTTAATACTCTGAGGTCCCAGTTCTGGGTCCTTCCTTGGAGTTCCAGCACGGAGCCACAGCAGGGCCTGCAGCCTGACAGTGCACCTTGCTTTAAGCAGTGTGACTGACTGTGGGCGTGGCTAAGGGGACGTTTGGCAAATTCAATTCTTTTTCTTTTTTTTTTTACTTTTTTTGGCCACACCCCACGGCATGTGAGATCTTAGTTCCCCGACCAGGGATCGAACCTGAGCCCCCTGCATTGGGAGTGCAGAGTCTTAACCACTGGACTGCCAGGGAAGTCCCCAATTCAATTATGTTGAAATGCACCCCATGCTCACAAAAGGCAGTGTATGTTTTTCACCAGCTCAAACTCATTTCTGTACGTGTCAGGGTCCCTACGGGAAACGTTCGTGAAGACAACTCAGCCACAGAGAATTTAACGGCGGCCGTTCATGCAGTAGTGGGCCGGGACCAAGCAGCCAACAAGGGGTGGTGAGACCCCCAGGGACAGCGGGGGGCTGGTGCTACCCCTGGGCCTGAAGGGGCCTGGGAAGAGATGGTATTCCTGGAATCTAGCCACGAGGGGCCACAGCATCTGCCAGGACTGCCTGCCAGGAGAAGCAGGAAGAAGCTCCCTGACCTTTCCTTCTGCTGGTGCCTTGCGCTGGAGGGCAAGCCAGCCCAGGTCTTTTCTTTTAAAAAAAAAGTTTATTTATTTGGTTGTGCCGGGTCTTAGCTGCGGTAGGCGGGCTCCTTAGTTGTGGCATGTGAACTTAGTTGCGGCACGCATGTTGGCTCTAGTTCCCTGACCAGGGGTCGAACACGGGCCCCCTGCATTCTGAGTCTTACTCGCTGCGCCACCGGGGAAGTCCCGAGCCCAGAACTTGCGGGTAGAGGGATCGGCCTTCCGCAGGCACAGAGCAGGGCAGAGAAGCACGGAGAAGGGGTCTCAGGGTGGATGGCGAGATAGAGAACGACCGGAACAATGCCCTCATCCTCATTTTTCTGTTTGGCAAGTGTGACTTTCTATGTATTGAGGTTTCTTAAAATAGCCACGGTTATGTGGGATGTAGCTAAGGTATGATCATAAAGTAATACGACAATTTTTGTTTTAAACAAACACACTTATACTCGGGAGGTGCTACACTTCTGTGAAAATTTTACTGTTAAGAATATTTTTGTCCCCTCTCTTTTGGAACTACTCTCAACATCACTTGTGCATTTAAAAAAGGAACAATTTCCTTGGGGAAGCACAAATCTTCCTCTCTTGAGGCCTGCAAATGGCCAAAGGGCCTGGAAGATCCTCCAGGGTTCCCAGGACAAAACTCTGAAAAGACCACTAGCCTGGGAGTAAGTGCGATTCGCCATGACCTTGAACAAGTGAAGGCCCCTCTTTGAGCCTCGGTTTACTCATTTGTAACATGGATAAGGCATGCATTCTCTAAGGCCCTTGCCAGTTCCAATAGTCTATGATCTTTTCAGAAGCAAGGCTGGTTAATTAGGTGGATGGGGCTGTTTGGGGTCAAAAACAAGGCATGATTATAATGTAGCGCAACTAATTTTCCCATGTGGCTGGTAAACCAACTCAAATGTTTTGAGCAACAGCACTGTTGAAATACTGCTATGTCTCTAGTGGCCCAAAGCCAAGGCACTGCACCCCCAGGACTTTGCACGTTGCTGGCACGTGCGTCTCATTTCTCAAGTCCCATCTTAGCTCTCTGGCATTGCGTGTTAGCTGTGACGTGAGAGATGCTGCTCAGCTTGTAACTGACGTTCCTTTTTTTTTTGACAGTGTATTTATTTATTTTTGTGGTACGTGGGCCTCTCACTGCTGTGGCCTGTCCTGTTGCGGAGCACAGGCTCCGGACACGCAGGCTCAGCGGCCATGGCTCACGGGCCCAGCCGCTCCGTGGCATGTGGGATCTTCCCGGACCGGGGCACGAGCCCGTGTCCCCTGCATCGGCAGGCGGACTCTCAACCGCTGGGCCACCAGGGAAGCCCTACAGTGTATTTATTTTGAATTCAGAGCTACAGAGAAGTTGCAAGAATGACACAGTGAATAACCATATAACTTTCACTTAGATTTCCCAGTTTTACCTTGTTGGTTTTAATCTCTCTCTCTCTCTCTCTCTCTCTCTCTCTCTCTCTCTCTCTCTCT